ACACTTAGAGTTCACCTTTTTATAACTGAGTAATATTCCATTGTATTAAAATACCAACATCTTTTTTATCCATTCCTCAGTTTCTGGGCATTTTGGGTGTTTCCATGATTTAGCTATGACAAATTGTGCCGTTATAAATGGAGATGCACATATATTATTGTGGCCCGATGTTTTCATGATACTCCACCTAGCAGACCCCCCAAATATAGACCAAAAGACTTGTACATTGAATAACCTAATTCAGAAGCACAGCAAGATATAAAATCAACACTGAAACACCAATAGCATTTCTGTAAATAAACAACAAACACACCAAGAGAGAAACCAGGGAAACCATGCCTTTCACAATGCCATTAAAAAAGAAAGAAAGAAAGGAAAATTAAAAGAATTGTTAGAATCTCTCTAACAGTTGAAGTAAAAGATTTATGCAGTGAAAATTATAGCGTTCTGAAAAAAAAATCAAAAAGGATTCAGAAAATCGGAAGATATTCCTTGCTGTTGGATAGGAAGTTCCATCCGTTTTATTTATTTATTTATTTATTTATTTATTTATTTATTTATATTTTAGGGAAGGGTCTACAGCGTGTTCAGGGTCTCACTACTAGATGGACTAATAGTGATCCGCCTGTTTACAGCCTCCCAAGAGCTGGGATTATAAGCATGCACCACTACGCCCAGTCTCAATTGCTCTCTCAGCATGCCCCAGGGTGGGGCCCGCAGGGCAGGCCCGGGGATTGAACCCCCAGGCCCTGCACCTGCTTACAAGTGCTTTAATCTGCTGAGGTATTTGGCCAGTGCCCACCTGCTTTAAAGTCTAGAACATTTCCTCTCACATGAGCCCAAAACACTGGTACAGTCTGCTTCCCATTGTCTTTTCCAGGCCTGTTGTCGTCTTTGGAGCTACCAAACAGAAAAACTTCCCTCTCAGAAGTAAATAGGAAGAGAAAAGAAGGTGACACAGACTACTGTGACCTCTGGAGGTGACAGCAACAATGCACACTCTAGTGGCCCACATGGTGTGCCGTTTCCTCCCCCTTCCTCTCATAGGCATAGAACCCCCACAGCTAGCATCACCTGTTCGGTACTGATTGAATCCATAAATTATTTTTGTCTCAATTCTCACTGCCTGAAGCCTCTGGTTTTCTCCCTGCCTAAAGTCTCCCACGCCACATCTGAGACTGCTACCTTCCCCAAAGCATGTTTCTTCCCAAGACAAAGTCCAGTGCCTTATAAATTGGCTCAGCTTCCTCTAAGGTACCCAAGTGCTCTGCCATTCCAAATGCTCAGCTTGGCCCTGTGGACCAAAGTACCCCACATGGGAAGATCTCAGCCAAAATTGTCATGACCTAGACAGATGACTAATGGCTAAATTCTGTGAAATAGAACTAACCTCCAGGCACTAAGCTAGAGCTTCTTTCTAAGTTATGTGAAATATTCTGAAATTTTATGAGCATATATACTTTATAAATATCACTGACCCATGGCCAGAGAGATAACTCAGTAGAATAAGCACTTGCCTGGCAAACGCAGGGTCCTGAGTTCAATCCCCGATATTGCAAAAATATATATATATATATATCACTGACCAATCTTCACACATCAGCAGTCATTATAACTGATTTGAGTACTTCATCTATTTGAATTGTAAGAGTTTACCTTTCAACTTGGATAATTTTCGGGCTCGTGTCTCCCCAATAGAATTATTTTCATTAAATTGCTGGTATTGTCTTGAATATTGAAAACTTCTGAACTTCTCAGCTTTAGTATAAATGACAAGATCAGATAAAGCCAGAGCTATTTTTAGCTTCCTGGTCTAAAAACAAAATGCAGTAAATTTCACCTTTTTACACTATTTGAAAAATGCTATTTCTAACAAAGAAAATAATCTCTAGAAATGTTACTTTTTTCATAAGTGTATCTCCTCCAAATCTACTTGGATAAGTCAGTATAATTATTTTACGACTATAATATTTAATGATAACGTAAGGAGACTTAAGTTCAAAATCTCAATTAATATAGTAAGTGGTAAGGATAACAATTATTACTATGTTCTTTTCCCCAAAGATCTTGGCTTATTTTCATGAATTTTTCAAATTTAGAAATTACAGTCCTGAGCAAATATATTCCCAGTTTGAGCCAACATTTTGATATATGTACTCCCAAAGCAATCACCTGAAATAGTTTCTATCATCGTAAACATATTTGCTCTTTTTTAATTTAAAGAATAAAATTAAGAAAAAACATTGCCAAAAGTAAGAAAAAACATAATACAGAATTTCAAGACAAGATAACAGGAAATCAGCAGTGGTTCTTACATTGTATATTGTTCTGTTCAAAGTAGGTATTTAGATTACCAACTATAAGTATGCAAAATGGGTCCAAAACATTAAGCATTAACTATTTCTTATGATAAACCAATAGAAATTAGTAATAGAATTATCTATTGTGTGAGTGTATATGTGTGTGTGTGTGCGCGCATGTGTGTGTGTGTGTGTGTGTGTGTGTGTTTGTATAATTTCCCTCTAATTATAAGACACTTGTTAGATTTTGCTCTGGGGACACACCCCTTGTTTGTGTTAGATCCATACATTTACATAATGATCCTATAGACTAGGACTCACAAATCAGAACTGTTCATTCCCCATTACCAATGATTGGTTCAAAGCT